ACTAACATGTACCGTTTGTCTCCAGATCTGTACTGGATGCTGTGACACAGAGTCCCGTCGTAATTTGTATCCTGTAAATACTTGGATGAATAGTCTGTCGATTTAGAGCACTGCATTACAATAAGTACGATGATGCTAATGACAAAAAGCACTGAAACCGAGCCCAAAGTGATGATCAAATAAAATGTCACGTTGTTTTCCTCCTCGTCTTTTACTACGTTTTTCACATCAGAAGCTGCAAAAGCCTCTTTGGGCTCCACAACTTTGACAATCACAGTCGCTGTTGCTGAGAGTGAAATGTTCCCATTGTCTTTGACCAGTATGAGCAGTTTATGCTGGGCCTCGTCTGTTTCTGTGAATGAGCGAAGGGTCCTTATCTGTCCTGTATAGCGGTCCAAACTAAAGAGACTGTGGTCACTAACTTCCTGCAGTGAAAATAATAACCAGCCGTTGTATCCTATATCTGCGTCATAGGCTCTGACTTTAGTCACCAAATGACCTGCGTTCACATTACGGGGAATCTCTTCCACACCCTCAGCAGAACCGTTAGCGCTGACTGGATATAAGATCACTGGAACGTTGTCGTTCTGATCCAGAATAAACACGTTCACTGTCACGTTACTGCTCAGAGATGGAGTTCCAGAGTCTGTAGCAACAACGTGGAACTGGAACATTTTAACAGTTTCAAAGTCAAAGCTCTTAAGCGCATAAATCTCCCCATTTTCAGAGTTAATATTAATGAAAGACACGTATTTGTTTTCATCTCCAGAGTCTCTCCAAATGTTATAGTGTACAACAGCATTTTCATCTAAATCACGATCAGAAGCAGATACAGAAAACAAAGATTTGCCTGGAACATTGTTTTCCATCACATAAAAGGCATAGGGTGAAAGAGAAAATTCTGGACTATTGTCATTTACATCGAATACCTGCACAGTTATAGTTTTAACTGAAGACAGAGGTGGCTGCCCAGCATCTTTGGCTACTAACGTGATGTCATAGCGAGGCACAGCTTCTCTATCAAGAGATGAGGTGGTAACCAGTGCGTAAATGTTATCTTGGGATGATGCCGTTAGTCTGAAAGGTATTTCTTCAGTTATGTAGCATAACACTTTCCCGTTTACACCAGAGTCCAAATCACTGACGCTGATTAAAGCCACTGTGGTTCCAATTTTAGAGTCTTCAGGCACAGCACTTGAAAATGATGTCACTTCAATCTCAGGCACATTGTCATTTACATCAACGATTTTTATGGTTATACTCTTATCTGATGTGAGAGGAACAGGTCCTTTGTCTGATGCTTGGATATCTATTTCAAAGTTATTCATCTCTTCAAAATCTATTGGGCCAATCACAGTCATTTCTCCAGTACTGGAGTTTAAATCAAAAAGTTGTATTAGCCTATTGTCTATATCCTTTCCAAACGAATAAAAAATGTCTCCATTTGGACCATTATCCATGTCAGTAGCATTAACCTGTATAACAGTTGTGCCTACCGGGACATTTTCTTGAAGCGTCACAGAGTAAAGTTCTTGTGTGAAAACTGGCATATTGTCATTAACATCTAAAACGTCAACTACTATATCCATTGTTCCAGACTTTGGGGGTCGCCCTCCATCGAGCGCAGTGAGGACTAGCTTGTGTCTATGGCTTGTTTCTCTATCCAAAGGCTTTTGAAGAATCAAAAAGGGCATTTTGCGATCTTCTCCGCGATCTTTAACCTCTATGCGGAAATTATCATTATGACTGAGTTTATATTGTTGAACAGAGTTCATGCCGCCATCGGGATCCCGCGCCGCCTGTAACTGATACCGAGCTCCAGGTAGGGCAGATTCCCATATTTCCAACCGCTTTTCTTTTTCTGGGAATGTCGGAGCATGATCATTGACGTCCAAGATTTCAATCGACACGTAGTGAATTTCCAAAGGGTTTTCTAGCGCGATTTTTAGATTGATGACACACGAGCTGCTTCTCTCGCACACCTCCTCGCGATCTATCTTTCCATTTACACTTAAAATCCCGTCATTCTGATTTACCGTGAACAGCGAGTCGCCTGAAGTTGAAACGATCCGAAATCCTCTCTCCTTTAACGTTCTGGTATCGAGACCTAAATCCTTCGCAAGGTTTCCGACCGCAGATCCTTCTTTCTGCTCCTCAGAAAGAGAATATCGTATTTGTGCGCATACCTCTCTCCAAAGCAGCATTCCCAAAGCCATGAATGTAAGTCTGACGCGCCATGACGAACGCGCCCTTTGTTGCATTTTGCAGGAAATTAAAACGGCGTTTAGAGATGTTCCACTCTAAAATTTTGACCCATAACAATGTTAAGCGCTGACCATAAAAATCATGATTTATGTTAGAAAATCTTTACGATACGAATCAGGTTGCTTTTGGCGAAAGTGAAGGCAACGTCCACGGCGTTCATTACGAACTGATGGAGAGAGAGCGAATGAAACTGCCAACAGACGATGCCACGTCAGGTCCGTATTTTTGGTGTGCACTGACACCACGCGAATTTATTTTTAACTGCAAACGAACATAACTGAGAAACGAAAAGAACAGGCAGTTAGGCTAAGTTATAAAAAAAAAAAAAAAAAAAAAAAAAAAAACCGGTTTAAAAAATATTAACTAAAAAAAAAAAAAAAAAAAACGGAATTACAAAAATATTTAATTAAGTCATAATTACGACAATAGATTTATGTCCAAATGGCGCACAGAAGTTATTAGAACTGTTTACAAGCCATTGCAGTAGTAGGCCTATTGTAGTTTTATATTTAATTCCAACCAAAACAGTCCACTTTTATGTAGCCTAGACCTACAATCATAAATGTTAACTGGTGATCTTTTAAAGAAGCAATCAATGGCATTAGAAAGTAGTTCACTTTATAACAAATAAACAGGTAGTAGCTGGATAATTTGTTACTCAGTTATGTGAATTTGAATCTTATTATCAAACATCCTAATTCTAATTCTAATTCACATTCTAAAGCCATCAAAGTATGACGTGGTATGACATGTCAAAACATGATGTGTAAGGCCAATATTTATCAGAGCAAGGACTACTGTTTGATGCCCTTCCTTTACTAAAAGCTACAGTACAGTATAACAGTACAGTATAACAATTATGATTTTTTAAATAATTTTAAGACTTAAATTTTATATGTAGGTAAAAAAAAGTAGACCACCACAAATAAAAAAATAAATACAATTAGATAGATAGATAGATAGATAGATATCCAGTTTAATAGATTTATCAGAACTTAAAATTATACCCATCAAACTGTACCATCAAATAAAAATCGTATTAATTAAATGAAAATACATCAATTTAACTTGACTTATTCTTTGAATTTCACCTCAACATATCTAATTAATATTCAGTTTAAAAAAAATTGGTAACACTTTGCAATAAGCTGTCATTTGTTAACATTAGTTAATGTATTAACTAACATGAACTAACAATTAACAAAACATTTGTTACAGTATTTATTAATCTTTGTTAATGTTAGTTCATAAAAATACAGTTATTCATTGGTTGTTTATGTTAGTTCACAGTGCATTAGCTAATGTTAACAAATACAACTTTTGATTTTAATAATGTATTAGTAAATGTTGAAATCAACATTAATTAAGACCAATAAATGCTGTAGAAGTATTGTTCATGCTTAGTTCATGTTAACTGATACAGTTAACTACTGTTAACTAATGAACCTTATTGTAAATTGTTACCCAAAAATCTAGCATTGGTCATTCTCACATGCTAAATATAATTTTAGCAAATATATATATATATATATATATATGTATGTATGTAAAAAAAAAATTACATATATATACAGTATATATATGTAATTTTTTTTTTTTTTTACTAAATGTAATGTATTAGAAGAGTAAGCAAGAAAAGACACACTACACTGGCATTTGCACATCTAGCTATTGCATATTTATTAAAGCAACACCATGATTTTCATGTTACGGCCCACAATCTAAGTACCAGATCTACTCTTCACCACAATGGTAACCACAAAAATGCCAACAACAGAAACTCTTCTAAATCTAAACATTAAACACTAGCAAGTATGTCCTTCACTTAGTATCATTTCAACATATACTCTTCCAATTCAATCCCATGCAAAGTACAGTATGTTGGGACCCATAAATCCACTGTCCAGCTCCAGTAATGCATGTCTAAGTGTTTGATGAAACTCTTTCACCACAACCACAATCTATATCTAAATGGTAATGGTCATAAAAATACATATACAAATGAAAATATATCAAACCTTAACATTTCTTACCTCCCCAGAATCTCTCCTCCTGCGATCTGGGATCACTAGAGTATTTCCATTACTGCCCGGGACTATAGTAGAGCCGATACTCATTCTGGGTCCAACTAACATGTACCGTTTGTCTCCAGATCTGTACTGGATGCTGTGACACATAGTCCCGTCGTAATTTGTATCCTGTAAATACAACACGATGATGCTGATGACAAAAAGCACTGAAACCGAGCCCAAAGTGATGATCAAATAAAATGTCACGTAGTTTTCCTCCTCGTCTCTTACTGCATTTTTAACATCAGTAGCTGCAAAAGCCTCTTTTGGCTCCACAACTTTGAAAATCATGGTAGCTGTTGCTGAGAGTGAAACATTCCCATTGTCTTTGACCAGTATGAGCAGTTTATGCTGGGCCTCGTCTGTTTCTGTGAATGAGCGAAGGGTCCTTATCTGTCCTGTATAGCGGTCCAAACCAAAGAGACTGTGGTCACTAACTTCCTGCAGTGAAAATAATAACCAGCCGTTGTATCCTATATCTGCGTCATAGGCTCTGACTTTAGTCACCAAATGACCTGCGTTCACATTACGGGGAATCTCTTCCACACCCTCAGCAGAACCGTTAGCGCTGACTGGATATAAGATCACTGGAACGTTGTCGTTCTGATCCAGAATAAACACGTTCACTGTCACGTTACTGCTCAGAGATGGAGTTCCAGAGTCTGTAGCAACAACTTGGAACTGGAACGTTTTAACAGTTTCAAAATCATAGCTCTTAAGTGCATAAATCTCACCATTTTCAGAATTAATATTAATGAAAGATGTATATTTGTTTTCTACACCATCTCTCCATATTTGATAACTGATTACACTGTTTTCACCTGTGTCTTTGTCAGAGGCAGACACAGAAAATAAAGATTTGCCTGGTGCATTATTCTCCATCACATAAAATGCATAAGGGGAAAAAGAGAACTCTGGACTATTGTCATTAACATCTGATACCTGGACAGTTATAGATTTAATAGTAGACAGTGGTGGCTGACCAGCGTCTTTGGCTTCTAATGTGATGTCATAGCGAGAAATTGTCTCTCTGTCAAGAGATGAAGTTGTCACTAACGAGTACGTATTTTCTTGTGATGACGGCATTAGTTTGAAAGGTATGTCCCCAGGGAATGAACAGGTGACTCTCCCATTTATTTCAGAATCTAAATCAGAGACGCTTATTAAAGCCACCGTTGTGCCAGGTTTGGAGTCTTCAGGAATGGCACTTGAGAACGATGTCACTTCTATCTGAGGGGGATTATCATTTATATCAGCAATTTTTATAGTTATAATTTGATCTGTTGTTAGAGGAACAATTCCTTTGTCTGATGCTTGAATGTCAATCTGATATTTATCTTTTATCTCAAAATCCAAAAGACCTGTCACAATAATTTCTCCAGTGATTGGATTGACATCAAAAAGTTTACGCAACTTGTAATTAGCATTGTGTCCTAATGAATAAACTACTTCCCCGTTCTGACCTTCGTCCAAATCAGTTGCGTTCACCCTTAAAACTACTGTGCCTACAGGTGCGTTTTCATTCAGCATAACAGTGTAAGTATCTTTAGTGAAAACAGGGGCATTATCGTTTATGTCTAACACATCAATCACAATATCCATAGTTCCAGACTTTGGTGGTCTGCCTCCATCTAAAGCAGTCATCTGCAATTTCATACTTTTTGTAATCTCTCGGTCGAGCGGCTTCTGTAAGATCAACACGGGTGCTTTGCCGTCTTCATCACGATCTATAATTTCAATACGAAAATAATCGGTGTGGCTCAGTTTATAAGTCTGAACTGAATTACTGCCACTGTCTGGATCGCGCGCAGCCTGAAGCTGGAATCGCGCACCGGGAAGCACCGTTTCACTTATTTCTAAATGCTTTTCCTGCTCTGGGAATCTCGGACCGTGGTCATTCACGTCTATTACATCAACAGTCACGTAATGAATCTCGAGAGGATTTTCTAAAGCAATTTTTAGATTTATTAAACACGGGGTGCTTCTTTCACACACCTCCTCCCTATCTAATTTACCGTTCACATACAAGACACCGTCATTCTGATTTACACTGAACATTGACTCGCCTGAAGTCGAGACGATACGAAATCCTCGCTCCTTTAGTGTTCTGTGATCAATACCCAAATCCTTTGCAACATTTCCCACAGCAGCTCCGTCATTTTGCTCTTCAGAAATCGAGTAGCGTATTTGTGCCCAAACCGTTCTGCCAAAAATAATCGATACAACAATGAAGATGATTTTCACATGGCGCTCAAGGCACTGATCTCGGCTTCGTCCCATTTTTGCAACGTATTGGTTCCACAGCAGTTTCACAACGACTATCCAAATATTAGTCCAATGACCACACGACAGATGCCCTAACCCTCGAAAGATTTTACTAAGAAAAACAAAGGACAAAAGCACCGAGCAAGCCACGCCTCTGATGAAAAAGTGATCATATACAAAATGACGACGAAAAAACGGGGAGGTACTCCGACGTTTTGAGTCTAACTTTTAAGGTTTACACTGACACCTCGCGCTCTTTCGTTGGATTGCTATTCATTAAACTATGCGAATTCATAATGAAATGAACTAATCATTTTTTTTATTTTTTAAAGCTCGTCTAATAGATCTAAAATATACACAGAAAGAGAAAAAAAGAGAGAACTTTGCAGGACAGAAAGCTGCATCATATATTCAGCACCAAGGACAGCGACTAGCTCTCGCGGTTTCATTTACAGTTTGTTCGGCCATTAGGGCACAGCAAAACAATCCAAGAATAATACAGAATTCACATGCGTATGTAGCTATAAAAATAAAATAAAAGTATTAAAAATATTAAAAAATAAAATAAAAATAAAAGTACAAAGCTGGCAATATAGCACACCTCCAGTCCTTTTCTTACCTCTCCAGAATCTCTCCTCCTGCGATCTGGGATACTTTTAACCGTCGCATGAGGAACAATTCCTTTGTCAGATGCTTCTATGTCAATCTCGTATTTA